TGAAATACTAACTATAATAGTTGTTCACCACGAAAGAACAAATGTACCGTTAGTAACAACTGATTAAATCAGCCATGGTGCCTTCTATGAGTATGAGGTAGGGCCGGCTCAACTTAAAGATGACATGTTTCGTATAATAATGATGTCACAATGTGTCTGATAGGTGTGGTGTCACAACTTATCTATTTCCTAATTCACCTATTAGTGTAAAACATTCAGACCAAAAGTCGGATAGCGTGACAGAAAATCAATATCCCGTTAGATATTTAAACTTACAGGTGCAAGTGCACAATATTGAATTGAGTTATGATTGTATGCTTACGGAGGACCTTGTGAGGGTCAGCGTGCTGTTAATGGCATGGTTCGACAACGTATTTCTAGTCTTTCCAGTCACTCATTTTTTTTATACCTTAGAGAACACGAGGGCTGAGAACGTTGCATGGAGGTTGTAGTTGCTCAAGCAACTCGTGCCTACCCCAGCATCAGCATTTCCGTATTGGTACATGTGAACCTGCACAGTTCCGTTTTTTCGGCCGTTACTAGGAAAGGAAAGTTGCGTCTGTGTAGTTCCGCCTGAATACGAGGCATGGTCCATGACCTGATGGAACCTGATAGGTGTCACTTTTCCGTGTAGATGTAGTGCACCAGACTTGTCTTACTGGCCTGCTAGCGCCAAGTGGCGAAGCAATTTACTTGGTAGGTGACAGGTGAGGCCCTACTAGTTGCCAAGCGGCTTGAGAGGCTCTATCTATGCTTTGGCGCAAGGTGATTTGTGGCCAATGAACGTCATGGCGGGGTGTTGGCCTCTAGGTGACATTTAAATCCTGAGAGAGATTGGGTGTGACAAGTGAGGCCCTCTCTATGCCACTGTGCAAGGCGGCTAACTATGTTTGGCCCGGGGGGGGGGGCGTAATACCTCATACATGGAGGATGGGTGTTGGCCTCGCGGGATCACTAATGCCAAGGCAGAGATGCCGGAAACTTAACATCTATTGGTCACCTAGATCTCTATAGGCCAGCAAACCTACTCACTAAAAGGTCTATATTGTGGGGGAGCCGTCGTGGCTAAAACATACATGAATTTGTTTAAGAGTTGGTGTAGTTCTGAATGGTATGGTTGTAACTGAAATCTTCAGTATCCCCTACCAGAGGCAGAGAGGGGAAGTAGAGGTCTATAAGCTAAGAAAAGAACCGTAACGGATAATTGGTTGCAAGGTCTGAAAAGCAAAAGGTGCTCCAAATTGTTAACCTGAAAAATAGGATTTGACAAGACATGAGGAAATTCATGTTAGCAGGACATCGTGAGTACCACCGTATCCCCCATGTATCAGCCCCATGGTGTCTTGGAAAGCCACAGGATCAAATATCTGCAGACAGGAACTGATTACCGCAACATAACAGTAACATAATGTTATCCGTATACCAGGTGCCAATAATGTACTCCCCAGAGTTTAAATATTACATTTATATTCTTAATCCGAAATCAATAAATGTCTTAAATGAAATGCCCAAATAAGGTGCCGACTTAACCTGTGGCAGGTTGCCCATTACCGGGCATATGAAATATATGTTGTAAAGGTATAGTGATGCCAAGAGATTGCGTATCCTGATTCGCGTATTCTGATTTGTATACCCGAGTTTCAGGGTCTGTGCGGGCTGTGTTGGGATTGACGTGGTTAAGGTAGGATGTGAATCGGAGAAGGGTTGTGGAGCTTGTGTACGTAGCCAAGACCTGTTGGTGATGAATGGTAGGGAACCCGACAGTTAGGACTAATCTAGTTTTAAGAACAGTGAAATGAACAGAACCTGTATATACCACTCATAAACATCATATGATACATACTCAATGAGCCCAACAAAACGATGTTGTTGGAAGAAAGAATCAAAACAGGAACAGAGGTCTCAAAAATGTCACAGTGGCTGAAGAGGCTAGCGACCTTGATGGCCATACATAAAACATAGGAAAAGACAGGAGATATAAGACATCTTTAACCCCTTAAGGACACAGCTTCAAAAACTGGACTTACCCTTAAGGACACAAGCATTTTTTTCAAATTTATTTCACAGTTTAGGCAATAATAATGTGTGTATAATAAGTGCAGCTTAAGGAAAGTAATTAAAAAAATATTCAATTAGTTGTTCTGATTTTCAGAGTACATAATATGTCTAGGATTTCAGCTTATTTTGAAAGTTACAGGTCACGAAATACGAGTAAAATAAAAAAATGGCAATCATAGTGCTGTTATGATTTATGGACACAGCTCTCAGCATGCTTAGCCAGCCTTCTATCTGACTGTGCTTCTTGAGAGTCACAGTGCACAGGCTGTTTCTGAGCATGTGGACTGTGACTCTCAAGAAGCTCAATCAGATAGAAGGCTAGCTAAGCATGCTGAGAGCTGTGTTCATAAATAACAGCACAGCAGTATGAAAATTACTGACTGGCTAAGCATGCTGAGAGCTATGTCTAAATATCATAACACAGCACTAAAAAGTTACTGTTTCTAGCTGCTGTGGACTGTGAGTCACAGTCCCCAGAAGCTGGAAACAGTAATTATCAGTGCTGTGTTATGTTATTTAGACACAGCTCTCAGCATGCTTAGCCAGCCTTCTATCTGACTGGCTAAGCATGCTGAGTGCTGTGTCCATAAATCATAACACAGCTTTATGAAAATTACTGTTTCTAGCTGCTGTGGTCCACAGTAGCTAGAAACAGTACTCTTCATAGTCATGTTAAAGGATCACTATAGTGTCAAGAAAACTAAGTGGTTTTCCTGACACTATAGTGCCCTGAGGGTGCCCCCTCCCGTGGTCCCCCTCCATGTTGCCAAGATAGATGCCAAATGAAGGGGTAGTTGCAGGAACAAAATACTTTAATGGTATCGATAAAATATATATATAAATGTAGACACTGATTGCAGTTGGCTTTTATTTGAAAATTCAGTATATGCTGTCTATATTTATATATATATATATATATATATATATATTTTATCGATACCATTAAAGTATTTTGTTCTTGCAACTACCCCTTTATTTGGTGTCTATCTTGGCAACACAAAGGGAAGTAGTGATTCTTCGGTGAACACTTACATCTGGTTTCCAGCATTTGATCTCCAAAACATATATTGGAAAAGGCGCTGATAGTCTGAGCCACTTTCTAGCGGCTCAGCACCACGTGAGTGGGACATTTTCTTCTCATATAATTTATTTACATTATATACAGGCTATACTATGTACTGTGTTTTATACTTTTAGGATGTACCCAGATACATGGTAAATTGCATGTTTTATACATTGTTTTATCCACTACTTTATATGCTCTCACCATACTATCTATTTCATTTTATTTGTTGCACTCCATGTGGTTTTGAGTGACACACACTTGGTGATTTGAGCGTTTATCTTCGATATTTCCTTTTTTATATATTGCTTTTTACATAAATTAGAATGACTACAAATTTCAGCTATGTTTGATGTGTGATGTAAAAGAGGTAGATAAATAAGGCTAAGGTACAGAGGTCTTGGAGTTTTGGAAAAGCACTACCTACATGAAAGTTGTAGACATGAATTAATTGGCAGCTATATGGTGGAAGAATTTGTTATTTTGCTATATGTGAAAATGTTGCATTGTTTTTTTTTTTGGTTTTTTTTTATGAATGGTGGTTTACAACCCTGAAAAGTAAGGAGCTTTTGTCTACGTTGGCTTTATTTAAAATTTTTCAAGTTATGTTCTGGGAGGACCACCGTGACCTACCTAGCCATTTGAGATACTCCTTAAGGACAGTCAATTGTACAATTTCTGAACCAAAACATAACCTGGAATTTGAGCTATAGATCTGCTTATCCATGTTAACTTTTTTTCATATGAAGTGCACCCACACTTATTATATATCATTTTGTTCATGAGAAAAAGGGCTTTCATCTCACAAATATTTATATATGGAACATAATTTAATATGAATAAAATCTAAAAAAAGAAAAATGTGAGAAATTAAATGTTATTTTGTTAGTTCTGCATGGTATTTTAAAATTGAATGTAATAATACTGTTTGCTTTTACGGCAACAAAATACACATATTTGTGTTCAGCAATTGTTTCACAAGTAGAATAGTACCCCTGCTTAATGTATAGGTTTTATAGGGTTTTGTAAACTTACAGGTTCAGATATAGGGCTTGCCCATTTCGTTTTTTACACATTAAAAGTTGCCAGATTGGCCAACTGGGCCTTTGTTGTCTTTCAGCCTGTACGGCAGCCCAGGAATGAGAATCACCCCCATGATGGCACACCATTTGCAAAATTAGACAACCTAGGGTATTCAAAATGGAGTATGTCCAGTCTTTTTTAGTAGCCAGTTAGTCACAAACCCTTGCCAAAATTAGTGTTCATGATTTTTTGTTGTTGCATTTTTCACACAAAAACTGCCCTTTCACCAATGATGTCATATTCATTCTACATTTTACTGCTCTAGAACACTTCTATTTGTGTTCAGCGATGCCATGTACAGGTTTTATAGGGTTTTGAAAACCTTTGGAGTTATGCTGTCCCAGACACTTCTGTGACTGGATCATTGTATAATGATGGGAGTCATACCGTATCACAGTCTGTGTCTGGATCAATATGTAATAACGGGAGTTATACTATACTACAGACTGTGTCTAGATCGTACCACAGATTGTGTCTGAATAGTACCACAGTCTGTGTTTGGATCATACCACAGTCTGTATCTGGATCGTACCACAGTTGATTGTCTGGATCAATATATAATTATGGTAGTTATACTGTACCACAGTCTGTGTCTGGATGGTACCATAGTCTGTGTCTGCATTGTACCACAGTCTGTGTCTAGATCGTACCACAGTTGATTGTCTGGATCAATATATAATGATGGTAGTTATACTGTACCACAGTCTGTGTCTGGATCATACCACAGTCTGTGTCCTGGATCGTACCACATTCTGTGTCCTGGATCGCACCACATTCTGTGTCTGGATCGTACCACATGGATCGTACCACATTCTGTGTCTGGATCGTACCACAGTCGATCTGGTACCACAGTCGATTGTCTGGATCAATATATAATGATGGGAGTTATACTGTACCACAGTCTGTGTCTGGATCGTACCACAGTCGATTGTCTGGATCAATATATAATGATGGGTACCACAGTCTGGATCGTAGTCTGTGTCTGGATCGTACCACAGTCTGTGTCTGGATCGTACCACAGTCTGTGTCTGGATCGATCGTACCACAGTCTGTGTCTGGATCGTACCACAGTCTGTGTCTGGATCAATATACAATTATTGGAGTTGTACCGTACCACAGTAGATCAATGTGTCCTCTGCGTGGGCCTAGGAGAACTCAAGATAATTGCACTAATAAACGAGCTGTTAAAAAAAAAAAAAAAGCTCCTAGAGAAAGTACTGTATTTGACCATCCTTGGTAACGATAGTTTCTTTTTATTTTTATTTTGTTTACACCCAAGGATGAAAAAACAACGTAGTGGTTGGGAGAAGCTGAAGGCTAGAAAAGAGGAAGAAAAACAAATGCAAAAAATCTTGTCTAAAACAAAAAAAATTACAGATTTTTGTGGAAAAAGCACATCTGGAACAAGCAGTGTAACTGATATACATGCTTCCGCTTCAAGTTCAACCAGTACAATTGCTGTCAGTGCATCTAGTGCAACAAGTGGATCCACTGAGTTGGACTATGAAAATATAACAGAACAGCAAGAAGAAATATATTCAAATGACATTGGAGATTGGAATATTTGTGATGCCTTGAGAGAATATTTCTGTGAAAATGGGGTTACCAACTGTCAACATATGGACAGTGATTTTAGTGCCTCAGAAAAGATATGTCCAGGTGAAACTTTTACAAAACACTGTACAAAATCTTTGTTTTTCCGGGAACAGTTGAATGGAGAAAAAGTTAAGCGTGACTGGCTGTGTTATTCTCCGAAAACTTGCAAGGTCTTTTGTGCTCTTTGCAAACTATTTTCGAAAGACGAAACAACACATTTGACTTCAACTGGTTATTTAGATTGGCGACATGCCACAAGAGATTTAAGCAGGCATGAAAATAGTGCTTCTCATGGAAAAGCAATTGAAGCCCTTATCAGGAGAAAAACTTCTGGTCAACGCATAGACAAAGATCTTGTTAACCAGTTTGAGAATCAGAAAAAATATTGCCACAAAATGCTTTGCCGTATCCTGAGCGTTATAAAGCTCCTTTCATCATGAGGTCTTTCTTTTCGAGGAAGTAATGAAGTTATTGACTCAGTACACAACGGGAATTATTTAAACTGTCTTGAGCTGTTAGCTGAATATGATCCATCCCTTGCTGAACATATTCAAAAGCATGGCAACAAGGGAAGCGGTCACATATCGTACCTGTCATGTGAGGAGTTTATTGAATTGATTGGTCAGCAAGTGCTACAGCAGATTGTAAATGAAATGAAACAAGCCAAATATTATTCAATTTCTGTTTATTCCACCCCTGACATTGCACATTCTGATCAACTGACCATTATATTTCGATATGTATTTGCCAGTGGTCCAGTGGAGCATTTTACTAAATTATCCCAATATCTGGACATACTTAAACAGAACTAGCAAACACGGTTCTTCAATTTCTGGAAGAAAATGGTATTTCCATCAAAGACTGCAGGGGCCAGTAGATATTAGATGCATCTAATATGAGTAGCAAATATAATGGTATGCAGGCCTTAATTTGGGAAAAAAATCCACTGGCTGAATACATTCCTTGTTGTGCACATTCACTAAACCTTGTAGGACAAAATGCAGTAAACAGCTGTCCAGTTGCAATTTCATTCTTTAATTTTGTTCAGCAGTTATAATGTTTTTTTTTCTTCATCAACTCATCGGTGGAATCTGCTAACAAACCGTTTCAAAACGTGTGGTATACCAACATTAAAAAGGTTAGCTGATATGTGTTGGTCTGCTCATCATAATGCTGTGAATGCCTTACAAAAAAGGTATATTACTATCAAAGAAGTCCTTGCAAATATTTTGAATGATGAGAACACAAAGGGAGAGGTCTGTTTACAAGCAAAGGGCCTAAGCAGTGTTATGGATCAGCTGGAAACGGGAATAATGATAGAAATATGGTCTCTTATTTCACCCAGGTTTCACAGAACCAGTCAGAGTCTCCAAGATGCAAATTTACATTTACATACAGCAACAGGCATGCTGAACTCTTTAAAGGATTTTGTTCAGTCTCGGCATTGGACATTCTCTGAATTTGAACAGGTCGGAAAAGATATTACCTGCTGCGAGGAGTACCAGCTACAACGTGGAAAGAAAATTAAAAGAAATAAGAAGTGGGACTATGGTGATGCAGAAGATGCTGATGCTGATATGACACCATCTGAAAAGTTTTTAAGTGAACACCTTTTATCTTATAATTGACCAACTGACAGAATCACTGAGGCACAGACAAGCAGCATACAGCGTCATTCAGGAAAGATTTGGCTTGCTGTTAGAAATGTGCACTCTAGCAACAGATGGTCTATGCTCCAAAGCCAGAACACTAGTGACACAATATCCTGAAGATCTCGACCCCTTGTTTGCAGATGAAATTGTACAGTTTTCCTCTCTTTTCAAAATTTACCAGTCTTCCCCTGCAAAAAATAATGAAAGTCAAGAACTACAAATGTACAAGTTTCTGGTCACACAATCACTAGTCGGTGCATTTCCATACACACATGTGACCCTCCGCATGTACAGGGAGTGCAGAATTATTAGGCAAATTAGTATTTTGACCACATCATCCTCTTTATGCATGTTGTCTTACTCCAAGCTGTATAGGCTCGAAAGCCTACTACCAATTAAGCATATTAGGTGATGTGCATCTCTGTAATGAGAAGGGGTGTGGTCTAATGACATCAACACCCTATATCAGGTGTGCATAATTATTAGGCAACTTCCTTTCCTTTGGCAAAATGGGTCAAAAGAAGGACTTGACAGGCTCAGAAAAGTCAAAAATAGTGAGATATCTTGCAGAGGGATGCAGCACTCTTAAAATTGCAAAGCTTCTGAAGCGTGATCATCGAACAATCAAGCGTTTCATTCAAAATAGTCAACAGGGTCGCAAGAAGCGTGTGGAAAAACCAAGGCGCAAAATAACTGCCCATGAACTGAGAAAAGTCAAGCGTGCAGCTGCCACGATGCCACTTGCCACCAGTTTGGCCATATTTCAGAGCTGCAACATCACTGGAGTGCCCAAAAGCACAAGGTGTGCAATACTCAGAGACATGGCCAAGGTAAGAAAGGCTGAAAGACGACCACCACTGAACAAGACACACAAGCTGAAACGTCAAGACTGGGCCAAGAAATATCTCAAGACTGATTTTTCTAAGGTTTTATGGACTGATGAAATGAGAGTGAGTCTTGATGGGCCAGATGGATGGGCCCGTGGCTGGATTGGTAAAGGGCAGAGAGCTCCAGTCCGACTCAGACGCCAGCAAGGTGGAGGTGGAGTACTGGTTTGGGCTGGTATCATCAAAGATGAGCTTGTGGGGCCTTTTCGGGTTGAGGATGGAGTCAAGCTCAACTCCCAGTCCTACTGCCAGTTCCTGGAAGACACCTTCTTCAAGCAGTGGTACAGGAAGAAGTCTGCATCCTTCAAGAAAAACATGATTTTCATGCAGGACAATGCTCCATCACACGCGTCCAAGTACTCCACAGCGTGGCTGGCAAGAAAGGGTATAAAAGAAGAAAATCTAATGACATGGCCTCCTTGTTCACCTGATCTGAACCCCATTGAGAACCTGTGGTCCATCATCAAATGTGAGATTTACAAGGAGGGAAAACAGTACACCTCTCTGAACAGTGTCTGGGAGGCTGTGGTTGCTGCTGCACGCAATGTTGATGGTGAACAGATCAAAACACTGACAGAATCCATGGATGGCAGGCTTTTGAGTGTCCTTGCAAAGAAAGGTGGCTATATTGGTCACTGATTTGTTTTTGTTTTGTTTTTGAATGTCAGAAATGTATATTTGTGAATGTTGAGATGTTATATTGGTTTCACTGGTAATAATAAATAATTGAAATGGGTATATATTTGTTTTTTGTTAAGTTGCCTAATAATTATGCACAGTAATAGTCACCTGCACACACAGATATCCCCCTAACATAGCTAAAACTAAAAACAAACTAAAAACTACTTCCAAAAATATTCAGCTTTGATATTAATGAGTTTTTTGGGTTCATTGAGAACATGGTTGTTGTTCAATAATAAAATTAATCCTCAAAAATACAACTTGCCTAATAATTCTGCACTCCCTGTATTTGTGTTTAATGGTCAGCAACTGCAGTGGTGAGCGTTCGTTTTAAACATTAAAACGTGTGAAAAATGAACTGAGATCTTCAATGGGTCAGGAGCGTTTAAATGCACTCTCTCTGCTATGCATTGAAAATGCATTGCTGAATGAGCTGAATCTTGATTCTACAATTGAAGAATTTGCAAGCAAAAAGGCAAGAAAAGCAAATCTGTAGTTTAATTATAATCTGGCTGTTTGATTAGTTTAGGTTAAAACGCAGTTTAGGATTGAGTGAATAACCTTGTTTTTGTGTTTAACCCCTTAAAGACCAAACTTCTGGAATAAAAGGGAATCATGACGTCATGTGTCCTTAAGGGGTTAAGTTACTCTCTGCACCATAACCTTAACAGCAGGCTGTAGTCAGTCTGATGTTTGGAGTAATAATTTAATGAGCATATTTATATGTATGTATCATACAATTATATTTAATTTGTTTATATGGTTTACGTTCTATTTATAAAAATGGTTGTTTTGAAGGTTGTATTTATTATGGCTTTATTTAATTAACCGGTTTCCTACTGTTTACAAAAAAAAAAAAAAGAAACCCTTTCGATCCGTTTCTGTTATGGCACTTTAATGGTAATTAAAAATTTTCATTTGTCTTAATACAAATGCTTTGCGTTTTCATTTTATATATTATATATATATATATAGTATATATTTCCATAAAAAGGCCCAGCAAAATCCTCAGCACCAGGCCCATGATACTCTTAATGTGGCCCTGCATACCATTTACAAACATGGACACCATGGGGACTCTCACATAAAATATTATAAGCTTTATTGAAGTGACATTTTGTTACCATTTTGTTTCAAAGTTTGTGGTATTCATTTTTATTTTAACATTTGTACATACACATAGTATTTTTGATGCTTATTTTTTAAATCTCGTGTGTCCCACTGTCATAGAATTATTTTAGCTGTACTCAGCAACATCTTCTCAGTACAAATATACCCCATATGTATATCTTTGGAAAGTAGTGATCTAAATCCCTAATCCTAAACCAAGTCCTAATTCTAAACCAAATCCTAATACCAAATCTAACCCTCAATCTAATAAACCCTTACTACAATCCTAACCCATAACGTAATCCCATGTGTAACCTTAATTATAACTTTAATCCTAATCTCAATCCTACCTTTAGCAATAGTGTTAAAATGATTCCCCCTGCTGGTGTCAGCCGAGGAATTCCCTTGCTATATTCAGCAAGGGATGCCCGTGCTGACCCTGATCCTTATCTGAATCCTAATCTGAAACATAATCCCAATACTACAATTAATTATAAACCTAATCTTAAACATAAACTTAATAATAAACCTGATAATAAATCTAGTACTTATTCTAAACCGAATAATAATCCTTAATTGTATAAAAGAAGATGAGGTTTTGAGCACACGATGGATGGGTAATAATATGATCTGTAACATAAACAGCTTTCATTGGGCAATATGTTAAAACCAATATATAGTATAAAAAGTAACTTGGAGCACTCACACTTTAGAGAGCGGTATAAGTCGGCTCTCTACTGTACAGGCATTAAGAGTATATCCGGAAAAATGCTGTTCTGTTCAGTTTTTATTTCTAATAAAGTATTTTACTTTTAAATGTATTTTGGTTCCTGATTACATCCAGATGAAATATCTGTTTCTGGGGGGCCATCTTTTATACAGCATTTTTCCTTGTGTGAGCAGGGATTTAACCCTGATCACACCAAATTTTAATAGCAGGGATTTAAATCCCCATTTAAATGCTTGTTTGCAGCGCTCACTTTGAGCTCTGCAAACAGAGCATCGGTCAGTCTGGGGCCACTAATTCTGGCCCCAGGTGAGCCCCAGGAATCAAATGATAGATGGGGCTCATAGTTACCAGCAAGGTAGACCCTGCTGGAAAAATACTGCATGACAGAATTTTTCCGTCATGCGTCCTTAAGGGTAGAACCAGCATGGCGGAAAGTTTCCGGTATGCATCCTTAAGGAGTTAAAAAGACCTATCTGGAATGCTTAGGGGGGTGATAATTACTTACGCATACACAGCTGGCATGTAGGATTTAGGGTTGAAAGCAACCGGAAATGTTAGAGTAATACCAGAATATCTCCGTACTATTAGCATCAGATAGAATTTAATTGTTTAATTGAACATAACTGAATGATGTTCCAAATGCATATGTACCGAATGAAGAAATGTCAGGGTGGTGTTAGAAATCGAGGGAATGCCAAAGCAGCAGACAAGAGAACTGCCGGTTTAGCTAGCTGTTTATACTCCAATAAAATTACATAATTAAATGTATGCGAGCTCTCCCTTGTGCCATATCTATTAACAAGTGAATTACCGGACGATGTTAGCCCAATGAGTACCTGAATACCCAGAGGGCAGACACACATCTAAAATGTAGGGTAGTTTACTTTTTAATGCATCTGATACAGTGTATATGAGGAGATTTATTAAAGCTTGGTAATAAAAACTAAATTAAAAATGCTAAATGCTTAACGAAAATAGAAAGACTCATGCCAATAGTATTGCACACACGTTAGGTAGTTAAACTGTCGAACAACTCGTATGATTAAAAGAAGGCAGACACGCGGCAAGTTTAAAAGGAATACATGTCATCAAAGTGTGACAGGGCTATCTATACATACTGTGGGAAGAAAAGCAGCAGTACTAGTTCTTGTCTCCTATTCCCGTTCCATCTATTTAAAGACCTTTAAAGGGCCATGCGTTGTGAGCAATGCTGTGGCTCTACGGTAACCACTAAACATATACTTGGAGAATACCTAATATTAAGCCTTCCAAGCCTCCATAAGTGTACTGTAGTACTTTGGTTTGTCATGGAATGGCTGAGAGTGCAGAGAGTGGTACTCTGCCACAACGTGAGGGTACCATACCTGGTATTAGAGGGAAATACTCCCCATTATTCAAACCTGGTTTAACCATGTACAGAAGGTCAGTAACCACTTAACATATATTTATATAATACCTGGTAATAAGCCTTACTAGCCTCCATAATTGGACTGCAGTAAATATATATATATATATATATAAATATCATTGTTGATGTTACAACACTTGTGCCCTATATTCCCCCTTATAAACACAAAACATAAGCCATTATTGGTAACATACATTGTGTGGGAACGTTGTTTCCTTCCAGGGTTTATAACACTCACTTTATGTGGCATTGTGTGCTGTGAGTGATGGTATTAGTGTTGGCCTTGTGCTTTCCTGCCTATGGTTTGATAGCGCTTTATAGGCGGAAATAGACGCCGGCTGTGGAGGGAGTGCGCCTTGCAACGAGTGGCTAGCAGGACTCTGACCCGGTGAGTGGCTACCCGTGTTGGCAGTGCATACCCCTGGGGTGACTACCCTCTGTGTCCTACTTGATAGAGGGGGATAGTGGGAGACCTGGGAAAGCCGGTATGTGACATCCCAGTGCCCAATTACGATATTTGAGATTGTTTTTCAGCTGTACTGGATTTTACAGTACACATCCAGATAAGTATAACAGAGTCAAAGGGACATGTTAGGCATCAGAACAACTACAGTTTATTGAATTTGTGCTGGTGAGTAGAATCATTACCTTCAGGCTTTTTGCTATAAACATGGCTTGTTTCAGAGAAAATGCAATGTTTACATTACAGCCTAGTGAACTTCACTGGCCACTTCTAAGATGTCTGTTAGAGATCCTTCCTGGGTCATTGCTGCCTGAAATGCATAAAAACATTCAGTGTCTCCTCCCTCTGCATTCAGACACTGAACTTTCCTCATAGAGATCTATTGATTCAATTCATCTCTATGAGATGCTGATTGGCCAGGGCTGTGTTTGAATTGTGCTGGCTCTGCCCCTGATCTGCCTCTTTGTCAGTCTCAGTCAAACCTATGGGGAAGCATTGTGATTGGATCAGGCTACCACTTCTGATGATGTCAGCAGGCAGGTCTAAAAGAAACAGGGACAAAGTAAGCATCTGCGGACTTAAATACAAGTAAGATTTTACTATATTTAGGGAGGCATGAGGGGACCAGGGTGGTTAAATGGTGGTTTTAACCCTATAGGGTCAGGAATACATGTTTGTGTTCCTGACCCTATAGTGCTCCTTTAATAACTTTGCACTTATGTACTTTAGAACTTTCATGATTGAAGTACACCTAGTCCTTTTCTTTTATCCAGTATGGGGACATTACAAGCACTATTTTTCATGCATATGTTATGTTCAGAATATCTAAAAAATGAAGCACCAAAAATTAAAGTACATGTCAACTGAACAGTCGCTGGTCAGGCTTTGCATTCCATATAATGAATTTACAGGATTAAAAAAAATACTGTAGGGTAAAAATGTTTTAAGGAGATCTGCTACTTCACAATATTTTAATATTATAATTTATCCACTATTTGGAACATATTTTTGAGTTCTAAAAATTAAATTTCATAATTCATATTGTTGTATTTGTGGACTATTATTAACAGTGCTTCTCTTTAACCCTTTGAGGACCAAGGGACATATTTGTCCCATGTTTTTAATTGCCTGTATCATCTGATTAAGAACTTAAAATACTTTTTTTTTGGTTTGAGTCAAAATATTAGTTCTTAACAAATGGATCTAGCTTTTTGCCAGTTATTTCATGAAATGGCTTAGTTACAGCAACTGAAGTGTACGAACTAAAAAAAAAAAGAAAAAAAAAAAAATGACCTTCTTTAGAATTCATTGTAAAATAAATTTAAAGTTCCAGAAACAGACAATGCTTGCAACCTTGTCTCCCCCAAAAATGTCACAAGTGTGGAAATGGTTTTATTTATTGTTCAAATACATTCTTAAAAGAAAAAAATATATATATTTTTATATTGATGACAGTAATCTTATGGTCCTCAATGGGTTTTAACTCATTGTCAGGCATTGTTATAAGTTTTGCCCTCTTCTACCGCAAAACCAGCATTTACATATGTCAGTCAGTCAGTGTAACGGCACCCCCAGGCATAAAAGGGTCAAACCGCCGTTAAGTCGATCTTCCCCTTCCAGAGATACAGGCACAGCTACTGCAGAACACCAAACTCCCGAACTGGAACCTCACGAATAGCTGCTAGCAGACGAACAGGAAAAGCACCCAACGGCTTACACTCCTGGCAATCAGTCTCTAACAGCATACAGTAAATCCCCCCAAAGAAGAGACAGAGCTCCGTGTTGAGGGTCAAGCAGTGGTCTGGTTTATTGAGGGCTACCTGCCCAGTGTTTATGCAGGTCTCCCACCTGGTGGACACTCCCCTAGGGGACCAAATGGGAGACTGCGACACAAATTGTAAAATGACCAATTACAGGCATACAGGGTTAAAACACTCCCACAGTACATTACAATCCCTCCCCTCTATCCTGGAGATAATTGTGAAGTAATCCAATTATCTCCAAGGACAGAGGCGAAACTCCCGTAACCACATGGTTACAATAAAACCCTAAAATACATGTTACATTTGTCACATAAAATATATACATGTAACCCATCCCCAGATAGCTGGGATCTGAGCGCACAAAAGTACTGAAAGGGCTCAGATCCTATGCACACCGTCCAATCGCCGTGGAGTCAAAGTGTTCACAAAGTCTGTTCTCCATACGAATAGACTCCACGGGATGGCTATCTGGGGTATTGCTCTTCATACGGTTAAACTACCGAATGAACAGGCATCTGGTTAAATGACCGAATGCAGGAGCAAGGAGGCTGACGGCTCAGCGGTGTTCGCGCAAATAAGTGTCCGTTTCCAGTTCCATAGTTTGGGCGCTGAACACCGCTGGCCGTTTGGGACTTTAAAATGGCCACTGCCACATGTTCGGCAAATGAACAAAGGCCACCCAGCATTCGTCAATTAAGCTGCGGTTAACCGCAGCTTCTGGGAGGTCAATTGCCGACACACTCCCAATACAGGCGGTCCAGTCATTCGGTTGTTTGTTCGGTAGATTGAATCTACCGAACCCCGGACAGAAAGGTACGAACAAGCCTTTTCTGCTGGGGAAAAGAAGGCTTTTTAAACATGGGGCCATAGTCCAAGGGCAACAGGCGAGCAACCAGGCTTCTCCAATGCTTCGTGGCGAGGTTAGTTTCGCCACATCCAGCAAACAGACTTTCCCACAACTTGCATCTTAACAGAGTTGTTCAATGGTTGTGAGAGAGTAGTAAATGGAAGTACAAACACAATGTGTCTGTTTCACTACTTGCATTGTGCCTTGGATTTGTTAAATCTTTAATACACCATTTAAAAAAAAAAAAAATTGTATATTTTGGTCATGTCCCAACATCTCTCCCTCTTGGAGAGGGATATCCAGTCAACTTAAAGAAATCACAGGGATAACGTTCTCGTTTAATCTTGACCTATTCCTTTTGTAGAACCCCTAAAAAATCCCTCACAAAGAGGCCTGGTCTTGCACCGCTGGGGTCAAAGATCTCACTATGGGTGCAAGAGTAGAAGAAATTGAGCTGCAATTGCTTCCACATACATTGCCACCTGGATACAATTATCTCTGGTCACTATCCTTTGTAAACATTAAGCACATATGTCACAACACTCCCCTCCTCTTTTATCTCTTAACCCTCTTCTTACTATCCATATTATGCAGTGCTCTCCCATCTGCACAGGGAGCCATGGCCCAGCACATTTAAGAGATAGATACCTTAACTGATGTTTGAAACTTGATCAAACAATGCTTCTTTACGTTTGTCTTTGGTTCCTCGTGGAGAGGAACCAAAGAAACATACTCCCTCTTTTTTAACTGTCCTATATTGTTATCTATCACTATATACAAGTCTTAAATAAACAAAGAGTTGAAGAAAACAAAATTGAGCATCACACAAAAATAAGAAGAGTTGACACAAGTTATAGGGGATTTGCAATGTTTTATTAGGTGGTGTATTCTCAACTAAACAGATAGCTCTCCTTTAATGTATCCAGTAGTACATTCTAGAATATTAATTTAAAATGGAGTTGGTGTGTTATATCAGAATATTTTCACCTAGTTGAATGCTATGGTAAACTGAGAGGAGAATTAATTGAAGAGACACTCTCTAAGCACCATATTCACTATAATTTAGCATAGTGATTATGGCGTATAAATGCTATGGGTAGCTGTCATGGGCCACAATACTTCAAGCGTGCTCGCAACTTGGTTTTGGGGTGAACTGTTTAAAATACATATGTCTGTACTAGACCAAAAATAATGATTGCAAAATCCAGCTAAACATCACCCACACTTAAAACCACAATGAAAAGCTGCCACCAAAAAGGCAATTTATATACGAGTGGCTTTGGTTATACACCATAATCAGATTTAACTCCCCCACAAAACACAGTTTAGCCAAATAAATGTTATCAAAAATGCTATTAAATAGGTCTCTTTAGGTTAATGAATCCAGATACTAGAGTGCAAAGACTAAACCAGACTGTAATATTTTATTAAAGCACAGAGCCTAAACTCGCACAGATATTATTGAGAATCTTACAGCAGGCCAAGTGGGAACTTCTAGTTTAACCCCTTAAGGACCAAACTTCTGGAATAAAAGGGAATCATGACATGTCACGTGTCCTTAAGGGGTTAAAGGACCACTATAGTGCCAGGAAAACAAACTTTTCCTGGCACTATAGGGTCTTTGGTTCCCCCCTACCCTCAGTGTCCCACTTCCACCGGGCTGAAGGGGTAGGAAGGGGTTAAATTCTTACCTTTCTCCAGCGCCACTCAGCGCTGGGGACTCTCCTCCCTCTTCCGGCGTCATCCGCCGAATGTGCATGCGTGGCAAGAGCCACGCGCGCATTCAATCAGTCCATAGGAAAGCATTTCTCAATGCTTTCCTATGGACAGCAGCGTCTTCTCACTGTGATGTTCAATGAAACAGCCACTTGAGGCTGGATTAACCCTAATGTAAACATAGCAGTTTCTCTGAAACTGCTGTTTACAGCTGCAGGGTTAACCCTAGATGGACCTGGCACCCAGACCACTTCATTGAGCTGAAGTAGTCTGGGTGACTATTGTGGTCCTTTAAATCAGGTCTGATGCTGTTCACAAATAAAATTCAAGAAAAGTTCAGCTTGATCTGGGCTGACATTCAGTTATATATTTCAGGCTCTCTGTCCAGCAAACATGACCAGTTTATGAGAACTGGTTAATTTAGATTGCTGATGTGCACTTAACTCTTTGATCCAAGCACTTAAATTTGATCTGGTAGGACCCACAAAATGTATTACAGAGTTCTGCCTGCAAGCAGTTCATGTTAACCCTGGATGCCAAACAAACTCAGGCAGCTCAGGTTAATCCTTGCTATGTTGGGACAAAATCATGCATACTTTGGATGACACGCACCAGCCCATGTTTATCTATCAAACTGTCAGAACTGTTTGACAAAAACTGGGGTTCTTCCAAACACTCAGACTGCTCCAGCTGCATTAAACCCCAAATGACCTAGGCTCTTTTGAGATGTAACATGAATGTGACCAAGGCTCTTTTGCAGTGCGTTCATGCTACCACAATTTCACAGTTTTTCTTTGTTAAATAGGATATTAAAAGGAGTGTAGGGCTTTTTGATACCCTGAATGTATACACAACAGTACTAAATACAAATAAAAAACATCAGAAAATGAAAATAAAAAGAACAAAAACATGTTTTGCTCAGTTTTACATTTAATAATTTCTACACAAGTGCAACAACAAAAAAAAAAACTAACAAAATAGATTCAAGAATTATGTAGTCTTGATTGTTCAAATGTCCAATACTTCTAGGATTTCAATAATTTTGTAAAAGACATAAACAAATATTTCAATGAGTGAATTATGGCTTAAAGGTAAAATTGTAACAAATTTGTCATGCTGAGATTATGACTTTTTGTAGAAGTTACAGATTCTAAAATAAAAATATATTTGCAGAAAGAACATCCCCCAGCCTATTTAAAGTATTTTAACACTTTTCATTTTACCATGTTATTACAAATCTTGACCAAAATATTAAAAAAAAAAAAGTGTTTTTTCACATTTTATTTTGGGGAAATTTACAGACCACATGTACCCTTCTATTATAAAAGCCCTCATGTATACTCGTTTCCCAGGTGCTCTGTGAGCACCCTGTACTGTGTCTCACGCTGCAGATTTTGAAACCAGACCAATAACTGGGCAGATGGGCATGCAGGCTGACCTCTCTACAGTCTTTTTAGACTCCAAAAGACTCCCTCACACTTTGGAGACAGACTCCTAATCACTGTGGCTGAGCACAATTTATCAGACAAGGTAATTTAAAGTGCCATGCGCACTCATTAAGCACTGCACATAGCTCATTAAGATTAAAGCCACTAATTGTGGTCCTAGGTGACAGAGGGTACCCTCAGGTATCCAAAGATACATGGGGTTCCTTGATTGATCCCATCTGGTACTTTTAATGCATGACCGTCTATGCCATCGAGTGTTACAGCTCTGCACTGCATGATGGCACAGGCAGTCAGAGTATAACACTTCAACATCCCCTATGTTAAAGGACCACTCTAGGCACCCAGACCACTTCAGCTTAATGAAGTGGTCAGGGTGCCTGGTCCAGCTAGGACTAACCCTTTTTTTTTTAAATAAACATAGTAGTTTCAGAGAAACTGCTATGTTTATAAATGGGTTAATCCAGCCCTCAACTCCTCTAGTGGCCGTCTCATTGACAGCCGCTAGAGGCGCTTGCGTGATTCTCACTGTGAAAATCACAGTGAGAACACGCAAGCGTCCATAGGAAAGCATTGCAAATGCTTTCCTATGAGACCGGCTGAATGCGCGCGCAGCTCTTGCCGCGCGTGCGCATTCAGCCGAAAGGGAGGAGAGCTCCCCGCCCGGCGCTGGAGAAAGGTAAGTTTATAACGCCTTTCCTCTCCCCAGAGCCCGGCGGGTGAAAATTGCCTGCTTAAGTTGAGCTAAACAAACAAAAAAGCAAGTGGACCAGTTACCTGAGATTGATGTAACCAGGTTCATTTATAAAAAAAAAAAGAAGAAAAAAAAAAAAGTCAGTTTCTGTATTTTATAATTTTTTTTAAATCAAAAGAAAATAAGACACTCTTCACGCATAAAAGAAGTGCTTTAGGGTCTGGAGTGCCCCTTTAATGTCAACTATTTGCTTAATTATTTTACCCTATATATGTTGTCTCTGAAGTACCACTGTGACAAAAAAAACAGTGTTTTCTGTACCCCAGTTTGAATCATTAATAATGGTATATATTTTACATGTTCTTTACTGGTTGAAGTCCGTGATTTAAAAAAAAAAAAATTATTGTTATGGTGTGGTAAATAACTAAACAACAATAAAATGCACAACAATGGAGACTGCCTCAATAGTAATTACGACAACAATTTATAAAAAGAAAGCTTGCAAGTGACCAATTGCCTATTATAAATGAAAATAGCGCTATGGTGGGGGATATTTTTAGGGTCCGTGCATACCCAATTGTACAAGGGAACCATACAAGGCCTGTTCGCTATGTGCAGCTGCATGAAGGTGGGTTATTCAACTGCAGAATAGCAGTTTCCCTGTGGCTTCAGCTACAATAAATGATTAAATTTCCAGATTCTTGTATTACTACACCATAAGCAGCACCCAGGTTGTGTTTTTATTATAAGAATCCTAGCTCTGTGCTCTTAGAACCAGGGAAGAGGCCTCCACCAGATGAAGATGGAAGGAGGCCCTCTTAAAGAGTTTAAAAAAACAAATATGAAGAATATGATATTTAGGGCATGACAATAAGAACACTAAGTACTAAACAACTAACTTAATGAAGTTTTGGTGCATTCCTTCGCTTAATTCTCTGCCATTTAAAAGTTAAATTACTTTATTTTTGCAGACCTAGCCAGATTCTGGCTGTGACTTACACAGCCTCTCTACACTTCCTAAAGGTTTAATTTTCAAGCTTAGAGCACAATATAAATCAGCAATTCTAACAAACACAATCCCCTGTTAATTACTAGTGCAAAGTAGCCTGTGTAAAATTAGATAAATACTTATCTGCACTGATCGATAAGCATACTTTGGGACGTATTCCAAATTATTCATTTTATTCATAAAATAGTGTCACTGATTTTACTAAAGTCAGTTTTTGCCTCGATTGACAAAAAATATACTTATCAAGATTGAAAAGACTCAAGTTCAAACTCAACCTTCTACACATCTGTTTCTTTGGTTAATCCTCAAGTAAGCACAAAAAATAAAAAAAAATAAAAAAGCAAACAGAAACCATTTCCAGTGGTGCCACAAACAGCAATCAAAATGGCAATCAGATATTGCATTGGATCAATATGCTCTTGCACCCATATTAATGTACCCTATAATATGGTTTTAAAACAAATCCTCCAGGCCTAAAAAAAAAGAAAAAAAAGATCTATTTTGTCAACAATTACACATCCTTACCGCTATTACGGTAAAGAAAACTTTCCAGTGCAGAAAGCAACATTTCCTTTTAAATCTAAGAGGATTATGTCTTACTTCCAAAGTACAGTCTTGTACTCAATCTGGATTATTCACTAAAGTGAGAAATCCAGGTTAATTTCAAACGAAAGGCCAAAAAAAAAAAAAAAAAATCTGAACTGAAATCATTGCAGACTTTGAAAATGCTTCTACTTTGGCCTTAAATTTGACATTCTCTTGGAATTCTCACTTTAGTGAATAACTCTGTCTGTGCTCAAGCATTTGGACACTCCTTGGGATGAACAATGAAGGTAATGATTTACAAAAGAGGTTAGATTAGCTAAACTGAACTTGCTTAAGAGGTAGGAGTTTTGAGAAAAACTATAAACACCCTTTTTTCATTTCAACTGTACATAAAAATAGATGCATGTTTTAACCTAGACTTTCCCTTTTAAGAAAAGAGTACTTAGTAAATGCTATTAAGAGTTTACTGGTGTGCAATGTGCACACAAAGGGACTATAAGACACTCTTACCTTTGATGTACTTCCAAGTGATGGACAAATCTACTTCCTCAAGATGCTCTGTGCACAAATGCAGGCCGAGCATAATTTTTCTAATGATTCTCTGCTCCCACACTTCTGGGGTAAATACATATAATCAGGAAACATGCTTGCCAGGCTGCACTAGGAGAGTCGTTTTTATTTCTATAGAATCTAAAGAATATCTAATAGCTAGTTAAAATAATACAAATTAGTCAATGTACCCATTGGACCATTAACAAAGTTAACAGACATTCTAAATTCCAATTTACTTTATTTTCTACAGATTACAAATTAACTGTATTTATGTTCTTTTCAGTTCATTTTGTATTGAACAATTTTCAATAACGATTATACGAAACTCCCAATATACTAGTAATGCTTGCCAGCATATGGCATCCACTGCACAGAGCAAGAAGGGGCAACCCCTCCCCCCACCATTTTTTTCTATTTGTTTGTTTTAAATACCACCTGATCCTATGTACCAAGGGTGGGGTGAGGTAGGGTCAAGCTAATTTTGGTGCATATCAACCAGCCACCTTACCTTACACGGTGGAGTAGAACTAGCCATAGTTCATGACCCTTCACATCAAATTCTTGCTTTAAACCCACTCCCTTATTGGTTAAACTATTGACCTAAATAAATTACAGTATAATTATTCTTGGGTGCTGACGAAGATAATGCCGGCAGTATTATAAGAAATAGAAATGGAAAGAAATCCAATCCCTCCCCTCCACCCCCCCAAAAGCAAACCTACCTTTTTCTTTGTTGGTGCCTTATAAAAAATACTGCATAAAAATATGACTCAAGACTTCTTACAATAACAACTCTACAAGCAACACTTTATCTTGATAAAACATATCGATGTATCCATAAAACAATAAATATTCACATGTTTAAATATAACCATTGATTTTATGATGATTTTTATGTTCCCCCATGGCAACATCTGGAATTAAAAATGTATGGCAAATTTTGACTATAAGCAACTGTAACATTTCCATTTTGTCTTATCTAAATCAGTGTTGTATAAACCTTTTCATGAGAAGGCCACGTGCCATCTAAATATTTTGATTAAGAACACAATGTCATCCAATAAAATATAAGGGCTTTTCAAGCTGTGTGGGAGTTTCGTAAATACCTTTAGAAATTTAGCATCTGAGCTGAGGAACAACAACCTGATGTTAAGGAATAAAAATAATCTAATGGATTATTGTTATTATTTTTTTAAATAATCAGATAATGTTTTTGCAAATGATTTTTCTTGAAGGGACAATTCACACACATAAAGCACTTTAGCTTGGTTTCGTGTTACAAATAGTAAAATTTTTAAAGGGATAGTCCACTGCCAAAATGAGCAAAAATAAGAAATCACTTTTTAGTAGATAGAGACCCAATTAATACACGCATGATTTTGTCATGTATGTAGTAGTCATTGGGGTTTATCTTCAAAAAGCTTGCCAAAACTCCATCTTCCTGTATAACGACTGTATGTTCTCTATTATTTACAGAAGAACTGCAGCCTTAGCAAGCTCTTTAATCTTTTTTTTCCCTCCAAAAGAGACTTTCAGCCTCTTCACAGGAAAATAACCAAAGGCTTTTTACTGAAAAGCCTCTGAATTGGTGCACTCATGCGCTCTTTTTCTTAAACATTTTCCAACACAGACTACTCGGTCCATCCTGCTGTTTAGCAATTATCTGTTCCCTATTAGATAAAGATGAGTTGCAGCCTTAGCAAGCTCCAGTCTCTTCACAGGGAAATAATTAATCAGAGACTTCTTATTGAAAAGAATTGGTGCACTTGTGTGCATGTTTGATCTAAGGGCTGGAGATGCTGATCTGAGTGTGGGAGCAGGCAGGCTCAAGTAGAGCGCACCTACCACTTCTGTTAGTTCAGGGGAGCCATCAGCAGGAGGCAGCACACTCACATGGCTGTTTGACAGTAGGAGGGGCCGGGGGGATTCATAACTTATTTTTAAAAGTGGCAGATTTATCATACAAATGAGTTTATAATAGGATACTCCTACTTCAATTAACCTTACTACACTTTCAGACAATCTTGTTACTTCCTGGCTGTTTAGCTCAGTAAAAAAAAAAATAAAAAAAAAAGTTTACATAGAGCACCTACACTGCACAGACTTTTTATTGAGCTGCATTGGGAAAACTGATTGAGTAGCTGCAGAATATGTGGGCTGGGAAAGACTGCATACAAGCGACCTGCATATTTTGCAAACTGCTTTTAGACTTAGATATATCCTATGTATATGATGCATATTTTAATCAGGTATATCAAGTAAATAGTGATTTTTTTGAATCATAACTTTTTGTTTAAAGATGCAAATCTTAAATCAGGTTATAGTTTGTGTACTATAAAACACACTCCTCACATTTCTTTTTATAATAAAAACAACTTATAACTAACATACCAGTATTATTTCTCCCTCTTTTTTAATGTGCCTCTTCCAAAAACATATTTTGTTAATTTCTTATTTTTTTAGGTGAATGTTATTTCATATTTTAGAATGTAAAGGTTTAACACTGCTAAATAACAGATTAATTCTAATAGCATTTAAACACAATGCTTATTAATCTCTTTGTTCCAAGTCAAAATGTGAAAGTGTTTAATAAACATCTGTCAGCACAAATGTTACTCATCATGTTAGGAATCTGCAATCTCTACCTATACCTAAATGAAGGGGTTTTCCACAGATAGTATTTTCCACTTAATACTAATAACCTGACTCAATTTATTAAATTGTAGAAAAGTGAAATAGGGGGGAAAAAAAAGGGATGGAAAATTTTCCAATAAACTGCAGGTAAATAGGAATAAGATAAATATTTCTATTTTTCAACAAGGGCAGTTGCAGCAGCAAGTTTTTCCATTTTATGAGCATGCCGGTGCTTTTTTAGTCCATAAGTATTGCTGAAAGCCTCACCACAAGCTCCACATTTGAAAGGACGTCCACCCTGGTGGGTTTGCACATGTTTGCTGAAATACTTTGGGTCCTTGAAGAGCTTCTCACAACAAGAGCAGCGAAGTTCGGGTTTAGCATTGTGAGAACGCTGATGACGCAAAATTGAAGAAATGTAGAAGAAACTTTTCCCACATTGATCACATCGATAAACCTTCTCACCAAAGTGCACTCTTTGGTGTTCTAAAAGGTTGGAGCGGTACCGAAAAGTCTTGCCACATGTCTGGCAACATTGAGGACGTGCAACAACATGGAGCCGTTGATGTTCTGCTAAACTGGATGACTGGGCAAAACGCTTATTACACAATGCACACTTGTAAGCTCTCTCCCCAGTGTGTACTACTTTATGTTGACGGAGGTACCAAGAATGCAAAAATCCTCGCCCACAAACAGTGCAACGGTAAGGCCTCTCTTCTGTATGACAACGTTGGTGACGCATTAGTAGGGCTGCTTCCCAAAAACGCTTTCCACACACAGAACAAGTAAAATGACGCTTCTGCAAGTGAGTTCTGCGATGAAGTAACAGATCATAGGCTCCACCAAAGTTCTGACCACAGACATTGCATGCTAGAGTGCGTCGCACTAAGTGCACATATTTATGAGTTACTAATGCCAAGAAGTGCTTGAAACTCTGACCACAAATACTACAAGAGAACCTCTCAACACTATGTATCATAGGATGTTCCTCAAATGTGGAAGTCAGTACTCCAGCAGTTGCAACGACTGATCCAGAAACCATGTCATTTGGAAGACAATTATCCATGCAGTTTACCTGCTGGTTTCTTGTAGTTTCTTGACACTGACCTACAGGAAGGAGGCGTTCTTGGGCAGTCTGGTGCACCAGTTTATGCCACATCAAGTTCTCAATAAAACCAAAGCATTTGCCACATGTATCACACACATAGGGTTTCTCACTCATATGCAACTCTTTATGGTTCATAAGTTGGAAGGAGTCTGGAAACCTCTCACCACAATCTGTGCAACCAAAAGTGAGTCGATCAGCTGGTAGGGATGAAGTTGGCACCATGCAAGGCATCTGAATTCTGTGGATCTGCTTGTGGCGAGTCAGGCTCTGTGGGTATCCAAAAACCTTTCTACACAACTCACATCTGTATGGTCGTTCTCGAGTATGAACAACATGATGCTTTGTGAGATGAAAGGATTCCCGGAAACGTTTGCCACAGACTGCACACTGATGGGGCTTCTCTCCTGTGTGAATGCGTTCATGACGTTTCAGTGTCTCTCTTCTACCAAAACCACGGCCACATACAGCACAGCAGAATGTTTTGCTTGGACTATTTGGGAGAGATAGTTGTGCTTTTACTGATGTAGGGTCAAATGCGGACCCATTTTTTTCATTTACACTAATAGTTGCTGGACCACTTTGGGCAACATCTGTGGGTAGAACTGATGTTGACTGAAATGTGACTGGAGCAACAGGCTCTTTTACTGGCTGATCAACGGACTGTTGAGGAATACCATGCTCATGCACTTGCTTATGTCGTAAAAGGCTCTGGGGTGCTGCATATGTCTTGCCACACAAGTCACATTTATAGTTTGGCCGCTCACCAGTATGTGTGGCTTGGTGTTTAAGTAAGTAGCTATTATCACGAAATGCTTTTCCACACACCTCACACTGCACTTTTATGGAATCAGAATGAGTTTTCACATGACGCTTCAAACTCTCTCTACGATTGAAGCTCTTGTCACACACACTACAGCTGAATGGCTTCTCTCCAGTATGTATAATCTGGTGTTGTTGAAGGTGGCTTTGTTTCTTAAACACTTTCCAACATAGACTGCATGTAAATGGTCCATCCTGCTGTATAGCAATTGACTGTTCTCTATTAGTTACAGATACCTCAGAAGGCTCCACTGTGGTTTCGGTCATTGCTGCTGCAACTACAGCTGCTGCTGCAGCCGTCTCTCTGTCTGGCGATGACAACGAATTAGCTGCTTCAATCCCAGTTTCCTCTTTATGGCAGCGTTTATGACGAATAAGACTTGAGATATGGTTATATGTGCGCCCACATATATTACACTCATAGGGCCTCTCACCAGTGTGAACTAGCATATGCTGTACTAGATGTGAGGACTGCTTAAAAGATTTCTGACAAATTGTACAAGGAAAGCGATGGTCAATTAGATACTTTAGCCGACAGTAATAATTTTTATCATCTTTTACTTCAGCTTCTGCAGGTTGCTGTTGACCACCTGGTACGTTACGTTTTAAGTTGCTAAAAAGATGCTGGTGGCTGGAGAGGTCTACAATTCCCCACTGTGAAGCATTAAATGTTCCATCAAAGATAGTCTGCGTATTTGGGAAAGTAAGTTGGTTGTTAAATTGCTGTGTGGTGGTTGGCTCTGACTTTTTGGAGACAGAACTGGTGTTTGATGAGGAAGGGATCTCTACTTTAAATTCTTTTAGCTTGGAGGAACAGGGAAACTGAGTGTGATTTGACTGTGTTTGACTGCAGTAATCGTACTGGGTTGAAGGGCCAGGAATAGCCGTTACTGCTTTGGCATGATCATGGTGGTTGTACAATTCCAAAGGTTCAAAACGCTGATGATTCAGGAATTCTAGAAAATCAAATGGATAACTTTGAAAATGAATGCCCTCTTCCCCAGCATTAGATTCCATTTCACAAGTCCAAACTATCCTGCAAGAGAAGACAAACAAGTAAGAAATGAAAAAACTTCACACTACATATGTTAAATATTAAATACTACCTTCTATATATTACAAAAAGAGGCCAGAGACATTCCACTGGAATTCAGAAGCAATTTTAAAGCCAGACAACTTTAATTTTTTTAGGCTTTAATATATAAATTTAACTAAAAGATACACATTCATATTATGTGTGTGTGTGTGGGTGTGTGTGTTTAAAAAAAAAAAAAAAAAAGGAAAGATTGCTTTCAAAACAAAGTGTTTTTTTTAGTGGAGTTTTTTTTTTAAATCAATTAAAAATACAAAGCGAGTGAACAGAATAAAATATAAAATCAAATCAATATTTAGTGACCACCCTTTGCAATCAAAAAACAGCATCAGTTCTTCTAGGTACATTTGCACAAAGTCAGGGGATATTGTAGGCATAGTCAGGTGTATGATTGAACAATTATACCAAAAATTTCCCTTAAAGGGACACCGTAGGCACTGTATCTGCTTCATCTCATTAAACTGGTTATAGTGTTTGGAGTCCTCTGGTACCATCATTTCTTTCAGCATTAAACAGTTTTTAAACTTTTAATGTTTTAATGCTAAACAAAAGTCCCTGGCAATCCATCCCCTCTGTGCTGCTTTGGCTAATAAGGAAGTATTAGCCTGAGCAGCAATAGGCAGCTGTGATTGGCTGGGAGTGTCAGCTGACTGCTTTTAGCCTGTCAGAGTTCCAACCGACGGTATGAATGGGTATGACAACAAGGGAGTGTGTAATCTCTGCCTTAGCTACACATACTGAAGGGGCCAGGCTGTGGGTGGCCAGGGACTCTTATTTTGTGGCATACTGCACGAACATGGTGCAACACTGAATGGAGGGACAGTGCCAGGGCACTCCAGGCACTATAACCAATTCAAAGAGATGAAATGCTTATAGTGACTACAGTGTCCCTTTAAGGACTGGACTACATTTGCGACCAGGCCTCTTTTTACACTTTTGTGGTGTTTGTGTTTAGCTGTAATTTTCCGCTCTCTCATTAACTGTTCCCATACAAATTATATATTGTTTTTTTCAGGACAAAAGGGGATTTCTTTACATACCATTACTTATATAATCTCATGTAATTTAATTGAAAAAAAATGATGAAAAATTAAAAAAAAAATACATGTTTTTTGACTTTTATTCATCTACAAAAGCTAATTTAAAAAACTGCTAAATAGATTCACAATTTTGTCCGGAGTTTAAAAATACCCAATATTTACATGCTTTTTTTTTTTTGCAAGTTATAGGGCTATAGGTACATGTAGGATATTGCGGTTTCAAAACATACATTTTTAAAATTTATCAATAGTGACATTGTAACACTATTATCTGTCATAAATCTCTGAATAACACCCCACATGTACATATTTTTTTTAAAGTAGACAACCCAGGGTATTCAATATTGGGTATGTCTAGTCTTTTGTAGTAGCCACTTAGTCGAAAACACTGGCCAAAGTTAGCGTTCATATTTGCTTGTGTGTGAAAAAAGTAAACAAAATTGAATGCTAATTTTGGCCAGTGTTTGTGACTAAGTGGCTACTAAAAAAGACTGGACATACCCCATTTGCAATACTTTGGGTTGTCTTATTTTGCAAATGGTATGCCATCATAGGGGTAATTCTCATTCCTGAGCTACCATACGCTCTCAAGGGCAACATAACCAACCTGGCCTTTTTCAATGTAAAAATATTTGACCCATATATTTGACACTGTAACTTTCAAAAACGCTATAAAACCTGTACATGGGGGTTACTGTTATACTCGGGAGACTTTGCTGAACACAAATATTAGTGTTTCAAAAAGGAAAACGTATCACAACAAATATATCATCAGTAAAAGTGCGGTTTGTGTGGGAAAAATGCAAAAAAAAGAGTCACTTTCACTGACAATATCATAGCTGTTTTGAATCACTAATATTTGTGTTCAGTGAAGTCTCCCGAGTAAAACAGTACCCCCCCATGTACAGGTTTTAGGGTGTCATAGAAAGTTACAGGGCAAAATATAGTGCTAGCAAATTAAATTCTCTGGACTTCCGGCCTGGGTTGGCAGGCAGGTCCCTCAAATTGCAATCAATAAAATTACTTAATTATGTAAAAATATTACATAAATACGCACGTAGAATTTAAATATATATGCATATTTACATATTTGAAGTCTACGTGTATATTTTTATGTAATTTTGTATATGGACATAAGTATTTCGTATTATTTTTATTTATTTATATATACACATAGATATATATACAATTTCATTCTAAGTGTATTTTGATATAAAATATATTACTATCAAAATACAGTTAGAATAACATTTCATATAGATATATATTTTAAATGTTTTATTATTTTTACATGTTTTTACTTAATTTAAATTACTTATTTGTATTTTATAATATTTATATACTACACATATATATATATATATATACACACACACACACACACGTGTGTAATTATAAGTATTTTTATATTAATATAAAAATACACTTAGTATGACAATATATATACATACACACACACACATATAATTATTTTTTTTTTTTATTAACTTTTATTTTTATGATTTTACACTAGCAGGGAGACTGAAACAGCTGTGTAGGAGGAATAAAACTGAGCACAGCAATAAGACATAAGGCAATTAAACTTTATGAAGTGCCAACTCATTCCACAGTACTGTACATGGGTAGATTTGGTACAAGTCAAACAAGAAAAGGTACAATACATATGAGACAACACAAAATTTGACAAACACAGAAGGAGTTTAGGGACCTATTTCTGAGGAAACTTGCAATCTAGATGGATAGGAAGGGTGAGAAATAGAAGATGTGGAATGCAAAGATAAGAATGGAATGTGTTCCTTTCCTGTAGGCTTTCCTGAACAAAAATGCCTTTAGGGAGCACTTAAAGGATGGCAAGCTATGGGAAATCTAATAGCATGGGGAAGTTCATTCCACAAAATTGGTCCCGCACAACAGAAGACCTGCAGTCTAGCAAAAGATTAGGTGATAACAGAAGATGCAAGAAGCAGGTTAAGATCTTACATTGCAGACTGGAGTATATTTGTTAAATAGTGGAAACGGCCAGTGGCAAACGACTTTAATAAGAGTTTTATTGGCCAGGGTTTGCATTTAATTCTACTATGAGTGGAAAGCCAGCAAGAGGTGTAACAGATACAGAATAGGTATCCACTGATTATCGGTTCTTAGCGATAATTAGCATTATGGCAAATATTGGTATCTGCCTATAGCTATACGTATTCTGCTGATTATCTGGGCGGCGTAAGAGCACGCTATCTTCAGCTTCTCTGAAGACCTGCCGGAAACAGAACATAGGGTAACAGAACCACTACAGCTTAAAGGACCACTCCACACCACTTGCTGAAGTGCTTCATGTGTGTGGAGTATCACAGTTTAACATCAGTTTATATAAGTGCTGACTTTTTTTTTTTTTAATAAATTAACTAGGGAGTAGCCCCCTGGCAATCAAACAGCAAAGGAGGATACCTATCTACTTCTGTTAGTACCCCTGAACTAATAGAAGTGGCAGGCACGCACTACTTGAGCATGCCAGCCTCCCCCTACCTCACAGACCTCCTCTCCAGACGACGGACCAGATGTGTACAGGTGTTAATGTGCACTTGCACAAGATGTTACGTGCTTGTGCACGTGGCGGCATGCGTGTGTGTTACTGGCTTTTTCCCTGTGAGTCTCTATCAGGGGCAAAAAGGGGAGGGCATGCTAAGGCTGCAGTTTATAAGAATTGCAGCCTTTGCAAGCTCTATTAAGATATATCCCCAATGTATACATTTATGAAATACATCATTCTAAATGTATTTTTCAACAAAACTTATTTTACTATTTATATGTTTGGGGATCTGCCTGACAAGCCAGGCAGTCCTCCTGCAGCCAATCTGTCAATCATGCTCAAATCCAACGAGTAGGGTAAGTATTTAGGCTGCAAGAAGGGCTTGATTGTAAAGGGCGTGCTCTGCCTTCCTAAGGGAGTCCTTTTGTAGGATGGCTCAAATTAATTCTTAAAAATCACAAGTGATACAATAAAAAGTGCAGATATTAAAATTGTACTATGATTAGAAGACCACACAATACACTTTGGACAGAATAGAGTCAAAGAACAAGGAGGTATCAGCTGACCAAGAAACTACCCCAATGGAAAACACCTGAGAGGAATCTTAGGAGAAAATGTTAAATATCCAAGATAACAAGAAAGAAGCGGACTCGCTCAGCCTTTAAAAGGGACATGTATCACTTTGAGACAAATGTCTCATTGAATAGCTTTACTGAAAATGCCTCACTCTCCACGCTGAAAAAAAAAACAGGTAAGTATGCATGGACGATCTCTTCACCTTGCAAAATCCTGACAGTGGAGACGTCTGAGGGAGTCTCATCAGTGCGATTTATGCAGAGCAGGTTTTGAGTGTCTGGCTTTTCTCTCCCTGCTGTGCCAGTCCCTTCAGGAAAAATGAGGAGCTTGTTGCTTTTGCACAACGATGCCGTGTTTTTGTCATTAGTGGAAAGATCTGAAACAGAGGGGATGAGGGGGCTGAAGAAACTTCCCTAGCTGAGAGGCCCAATAATTCAATATGACCAAGTTTATAGTATATTTATAAACATTTATTATATACTTTTCAAAGCCTTATATATTTGTTTAAATGTGTTCGCATGCTGGTTTAAAAAAAAACAAACCAAAAAAAAAACAAGTGATGCATGTCCCTTTAAGAAAAACAGTTTCAGTGATATGCATATTTTGGCCAACAGGAATCAATGTCAAGCTGGCATGTAGTTCATGGGGGTATAGAGTCGTTAGGGTCTTGGCTGGTTAGTGGTTTCAATGGTCAGTTAGGAATTACATAAGTGGGTTGAAGAGCTGGAGTCCTGGAAAAAAAGGCCTGTCCCAAATACACAGCAACAGTGGTGGACTGGACACACACACACATATATATATATATATTTATATTTATTTATTTTTCCCCTCAATTTTTTTTCCATTTTAGCCATTGTGACATCAGTCATTAGATGTTCAACCTCTATTTTAGGTCAACTACGCAGTTTTTATTTACATGTCTCCTGGTGCTTTTAGTTATTTCTTTTAGCTAGCAAGCTGCCACGTTTGTCTGTGAGCGGTTTGATTGCTACAGTTAACAGTGGTGGGCCAACCCAAAGAGAGAGCATGAGGACCCAGACATTTGAAAAGAGTCTTTTACTGAATGAAAAAGTTGTGTCAGGGAGCTTCAGACACCATAATCACATTAATGAGATGAAGTTACAGTGCCTACATTATCCTTTAAAGGACCACTTTAGTGCCAGAAAAACACTCGTTTTCCTGGCACTACAGTTGTGCTCTAGGGGGAGGAAGGGGTTAAACGTACCTCTTCTCCAGCGCCGGGCGGGGAGCTCTCCTCTTCCTCAGCGACGTCATCGCGCGCACATTCAGCCAGTCCATAGGAAAGCAGTCACAAGAGACAGCCACTAGAGGCTGGATTAACCTTATTATAAACATGGCAGTTTGTTTATAAAAAAAAAAAGGGGTTAACCCTAGCTGGACCTGGCACCCAGAGCACTTCATAAAGCTGAAGTGGTCTGGGTGCCTATAGTGGTCTTTTAAAAGTAGGAAGTAATTACAGAGGTGTGTACATTTTTAAATCTACTTTTCCAAGGAACTGAAGCGGAAGCCCAAATCTACTTATCCGTCATGGCAATCTACTTGCACTGCCACACAAAATAATTAAAGATTGTGGCACCTAAATAGACGTCTGGACACAGACAAGGTACTTACTAAACTCTGAATATTTTCAAATTGAACCCAAATTGAAAGACAAGTTTTTTTTTTGTTTAGTTTTTTAAAGCGTGTCTGTAAAATTTTTACAACACAGCTCTAGTATGACTAGTCTCTTGTTTTTACATTTAAAGGATCACTATTAGGAACCCAAACCACTTCAGCTCAATGAAGTGGTCTGGGTGCCAGGTCCCTCTAGTTTTAATCCTGCAGCTGCTATGTTTCACTGAGGGTTAATCCAGCCTATAGTGGCTGTCTCACTGACAGCCACTAGAGGCTCTTCCACGATTCTCACTGTAAAAATCCATAGGACATTCATAGGAGAGAATTGAGCTCTTGCCGCGCATGCGCATTTGGATCTGATGTCAGCAGGGGGTGGAGAGTTGCCCAGCACAGAGGGAGCCCGGCGCTGGAGAAAGGTAAGGGGCAGGAGGGGGCCCTGAGGGTGGGGGTGACCTAATGACCCTATAGTGCCAGGAAAACTAGTTTGTTTTCCTGACACTATAGTGCTCCTTTAATGGACACTATAGTCACCAGAACAACTACAGTTTATTCTATTTGTTCAGGTGTGTAGTATCATTCCCTCGAGGCTTTTTGCAGTAAACACTGTCTTTTCAGAAAAAATGCAGTGTTTACATTACAGCCTAGTAATAACTCCACTGACCTCAGATTGCTACTAGAAGTGCTTCCTGAGGCAGTGCTGCACACTGTGCAGTACTGCCATTCAGTGTCTCCACCCTCTGCATGCAGACAGTGAACTTTCCTCAAAGAGATGCTTTTGACTTGCCCTTGCTCTGCACCTGATCTGCCTCCTTGACAGTCTCAGCCAATCCTATGGGGAAGCTCCTAACCCTATAGTATTCCTTTCAGATTTACTTTGTGGTTCAACTTCTGTTCCACTCATAGTGGATAACGTGGGTACATTTTATGTGGAATGCGTGTGCAGGTTTGTTGTAATATGTGTGGTGTGTATCAGGTATTTGTTGTGCACTTGATGTGTGTAGTGTGCCCCAGTTCGTCTCTGCCTCCAAAACCCAAACTACTGTGTCTTCCCTATCCATTCCACTAGTGACTCTGTACACATCCATAACAGTGTACCTGCCCCTAGAAACCCCCCGCTCCACTAGTTTATCTGCCCCTAACCCAGCCCAATTAGTGTACCTGTATTACACTTAATTAGTGTCCCTGCCCCTATGCAACATATTGCATCTCCTGTGTCTCAGGCTGGTAGTTTGGCTAAGTAACATCCAGGTTGAGACTTAAAAGTTGTACTGCAATAACATTGTCATCGTTTCTCTGTCCATGAACTGGAGCCTGAGCAAAGGGAATCGACAGCTGTGTGGTACACAACAGGCGGGTCGTCAAGCAGCAGGGCTGCTACAGTGAGGTTGGGGGACTAACAGGGTCATCCAGCAGATGCAGACCATAGCAAATACTCCATTGTAGTCTTGATCATTATTAATGAGTTAGAGAACATATGCCAGTATTTCCAGTATACACTCTGACTCACCTCAAGGAGTGTCAAGACTGCAAAGAAGAGGGTGAATTTCAATTATTTAATGATAACATTTCTCATAGAAATTGGCACTTTATAATGTGTCTTTCAAATGGAATACTCCTCACCCATAAAGTACTTTAGCAAGTTGAAGTGCTTTAAAGAGATGCTATAGTGTTAGGAACACAAATCTGTATTCCTAACATTAAAGTGCCCACTGGTCCTCCCGCCAGCACAAAAAGAGTTAAAGGAACACTATAAGGTGTTACAAACATGTATTCCTGACCATATAGTGTTAATACCACCAATTAGGTGGATTGCCCCCCCCCCTTAAAAGGAGGAAAAAACAAGTCACCTTATTTCTGCCCGCGGTGGCCATGCCCCTAATCCGACTCCTTTCTGACATCAGAATTTATGGGAAAATATTGGATTGGCTGAAAACAGCAAGGAGGCGGGGCCAAACACTGCCTTGGCCAATCAGCAATCCCTCATAGAGATGCATTGAATCAATGCTTGTCTATGAGAAACATTCAGCTTAACAGCAGTGCTACACAGTGGAAGCACCTCCAGTAGCCTAAGGGGCAATGTAAACAATAACTTTTCTCTAAAAATGCCTTAAGGGAATGGTTATACTCACCAGAAAAAAAAATACATTAAGTTAGAGTTGCTCTGGTAACTATAGTGTCCCTTTAAATAAAACATTTATTTAACCCCTTAAGGACCAAACTTCTGGAATAAAAAGGAATCATGACATGTCACAAGTCATGTGTCCTTAAGGGGTTAAAGTGACACTGTAGGCACCCAGACCACTTCAGCTAATTGATGGGCTTATAAACTCTGGTGAGCACCTCTAGCAGCTGTCTGGTAGACTAGAGGTTGCACTGGTAGCCACTACAGCTTGTCTTAGTAATGCAATGTAAACATTGCAATTTTTCAAAAACTGCAATGTTTTACATTGTAGGACTAAGGGTGACAGGGACATTGCACCCAGTCTACATCAGTAAGCTGAAGTGGTCTGGGTGCCTAGTGTCCATTTAAGGGTTTGGAGTGGACCTTAAAGGAGCACTATAGTGGCAGGAAAACAAAAACTCGTTTTCCTGGCATTATAGGGTCTTTAGGCCCCCCCACCCTCAGGTTCCCACTCTCGCCGGGTTGAAGGGGTTAAACACTTACCTTTCTTCAGCACCGGGGAACTCTCCTCCCTCTTCCAACGTCAGCGCCATATGTGCATGCGCAGCAAGAGCCGCACACGCATTCAATAAGTCCATAGGAAAGCAATGAACGTCTTCTCACTGTGATTTTCACAGTCTGAAGCACGGAAGCGCCTCTCAATGAGACAGCCACTAGAGGATGGATTAACCCTATTGTAAACATAGCAGTTTCTCTGAAACTGCTTTGTTTACAGATGCAGGGTTAACCCTAGATGGACCTGGCACCCAGACCACTTCATTGAGCTGAAGTGGTCTGGGTGCCTATAGTGGTTCTGAATTAACACTGAATTATGAAAACAGCCCCCCTTCCAGTCACAAACTCACTGCAATCTGGGACTCCAGGCAAACTTAGGTCTTGGGCCCACTTCTTGTTAAAATAAATGAAAATCATATATATATATATATATATATATATATATATATATATATAGTTAATAAATCCTACTACTGCTGATTAGCAGAATTGTTTAGTAATTGAACATTGGAGGCCAAAATTGCTGAGCTGGAAAGTAAATGGCATTACATATTTATGCTAGAAAGCTAGATAACGAAATACCCCTTGTTAATCTGCATGTTTATTTGTAGGCCCATGTTCAACCACAGGTCCCTCCATCAATCCCATGCCCAGATTGCCCTCAAACTGGTCCCTCCTATCCCATTCTCACCCTTCTCTCTTACCCTTTAACCTAACTCATGCCCCTTGTCGCATTCCATGTGCAAGTGCCTCCCCACTTCTAAAACGGGGCCATCCATCCACCCAAACAGGACTTCCCTTCTACCCCATGCTCCCCCCCTTGCAGACCGTTCATTCAACCCAGTAACCCCCGGACTGACATTTCATTACATTTTGCCACTTCCCACTGGCACTTCTTTGTACCGCTGCTCTCCCACTTCCACCAAATGCCCTCACTGCTCAATCCTTGCATCTCATTACCACCCCTGGTCCTCCCCAATGTCCTTTCCTTCTACCTCTCCCCCCCGACCTTTCTTTCCATCCCACGCCGCCCTGCACTAGCCCCTCCCCTCCCTCTTGCCGCTGCTTCCATCCCATGACGGCTCCCCACGTCCACCCTTCCACCCCACACCCTCACAAATGGTCCCTCGTTTCAGCCCATTCTCCCCATTCGCGTATTTCCCTCTCGCCACCCCCACATCACAGTTTCTCACTGCATTCTTGCCTGGTGAAACTCCTGCTGTACGTGGCCGGCAGAATCCTTGTCCTCCAACTCCAACATACCTATATTATCTTTGAGGAGGTAGTGGAGGAGAATTAGCCCTGTCTAAGGAGTTGTCCACGGTGTCAGGAGCGGTCAGGAGTGTAGCAGCTAGTCCCCATCCAGCAAAAGGCCCCGTGACGTCACCACGGTCACGTGACCGGGGAGGTCACAAGGTACAGATTGCTACAGGAAGCAGAAGGCGGCAGATTCAAAGCAATAGGAAAGCGTTCTGTCTGCTGATCGATTAGAACACAGAGTCTGCCGAGAATAAACTGGGTGCCTTCAGGTGAAAATGTGCAAAATATTCTTTTATTTCTCCAGATCTCCTTGACTGGAAAGGAATGTCACAACAGAAGTTAAGTTTATTTTAAGCTCTCGTTGTGTTTTTAGTAAAATCCAATGCAGGTTCATTCAGACATTGAGTTGGGTGTAGAATGTTTTTCATATTATTCATCTTCCTACGTGAGTTTTAACAAAGAAATTTAGATTTTTGTAAGACTGATTTATTGATGTGAGAGAAATAAAAAGGTTAATTCACTCCTATGTGTGAAGCAGGAAGGGGTTACTCCAATCACCATGACCACGTCTGCTTTTAGAAGTGGTCATGGTGATAGGAGTCTGTATGTGCAGCTTTTCAGCATCTGGCAACAGATGTATTGAGCTTCTTCTTTTCAAGCAGGGCCTGCAAGAGAAAACGTTTGTCTCTCTGTCTTTCTCCTTCGTTAAAGGAACACTCCAGGCACCATAGCAATTTAATCTAAATGAAGTTGTTATAATGCCAGCAGGCCCTCTGGCACATTCATTGCCTCCAGTGCAGATCTTAACTCCCCCCCCAAGGCGGATTCAAACTTCTGCAATTCCAGTTTCAGGAAGCGCAAAGTGCTGCTGATTGGCTGAAAGCGGTCACCTGATGCTCTTAAAACTGAAATTTCTGAAGCCGGATGTCAAAAGAGTGTGCAAATTGTTTCAATCAGAGTCTTCTGTGAGGAGCTCGCTGATGCTGGGTGGAGGTGTGGAAGGCAGCACCAGAAGGGAGCTTCGCCAGACTGTATTCCAGGTAAGTAAAATACACTTTTGCAGGTTTACTGTAAAATATGGGAGTGAGAACCTAGTTAATAGCCCCACATCCCCCTAAAAAATAAAGGGTTGGCGTAACCCTTTAAAGAAGTGTTTCTGGTTTTTCAAGCTTAACGCCACTTCAATTGGTTGTCTTTCTTACGGCCACTAGCGAGACTACCTCTAGGATTCCATTACATCTTTATGAGGAGATGCTGATTGGTGCATGCCATGCACACTAGCCTCCCACTACTTTCTTAGGAGGAAGCACTGTATTGTCTAAGATCATCAAGATTGATGAACTCAGCCAAGGAGGCAGGGCTACAGTGGCAATCGTAAGTAAAACTAGTTTTTTTTTTAAATTTCATTCTGGGGGTGGGCAAGAATCTAAAAAGTTATGGTAACACTATGGTGTTAGGAATACATGTTTTTATTCCTGATGCTATAGTGTTTAAGTTTGCTGAGAAAGTGTGATTTGGGCTGCACTCGCACTTTAGTGTTCGGTGTGTGGGGGCATATTACCTAAACACAAAAGTATACATTTTTTTATTTTATTTTTTTTTAACGCCAAAGTTGAGTATCTAGAGCCAATCGCTATCAAGGTGTCCTGCTGCTTAGAATCTTTAAGTAAGAAGCCTCGACCAGGAGTGCCACTGATTGGCTCAGAGTACAAGTGTACAAAACTGATGTCTACAGAGGATCCTGTTAGACCAAAGGAGCCTGCATAGATTTTTGTTTGTGATGAGCAAAGTAATACTTTATTCCCACAACCTTCACTGATGATGGCGCTAGCTCCGTCATTTGTCAAGTTTTGTAAACTTGAAAATTTACCATAAGACAAAGTTTGGCTGTGCAGGAATTTCAGATAAATTCCAACTCCGTATTTATGAGCATTTCATAAAGATTTTATCTATGAAAAACTAAATATTGTGGGGGACTGACAGAGCCACTATCTGTTTTTAAATAATTTGATACTGAATAAGGGTCATCAGAAATTCGTACCATAGCTGCTCAGACTAATGCAGAGCAACAATGGATAGTAGTGACAAAGCGTCTGAGATGCCCATCACTCGTATGACTAATGCAGAGTTGCCCTCTACATTAGTCATAGCTTCGAGTTACCATATCCAATTCAATAAAATAAAGTGATTATGCTGTGTAGTGTCCCTTTTATAAAAGGCTTTGTCAAAATTATTTGATTACTAAATAATTGTTGTTGCAAGATAGTGGGCTAAAAATCTATGAGACAGCAAAAAATTGGTAAGGTTATTTATTTCCAAAAGGAGTTAATAGGGAAGTAATCAATTTCCGTTCTCCATCTGAAAACCAGAAGAATTTATTTAATAAAGGAACACTATAGGGTCAGGAACACAAACATTTATTCCTATACAAACATTTATTCCTATAGTGTTAATAACACCACCTAGCCCCCCTTGTCTCCCAAATATAGTAAGATCTTACCTTAATTCCAGTCTGCTGGACTGGAAGTGTTATCAGAGCCAATCACAATGCTTTCCCATAGGAAAGCATTAGGTTGACTGAGACTGCCAAGGAGGCTGATCGGGGCAGAGCCAAACACAGCCCTGGCCAATCAGCATCTCCTCATAGAGTTGCATTTAATCAATGTATCTCTTTGAGGAAACTTCTGTGACTCCATGCAGAGGGTGAAGACACTGAATGGCAGTGCTGCACACTGTGCATCACTGCCCCTGGAAGCACCTCTAACAGTCATATGAGGAGTGGCCAGTGGAGGTAATGTAAATACTGCATTTTCTCTGAAAAACAGTGTTTACTACAAAAAGCCTGAAGGGAGTGATTAAACTCACCAGGAGAAATACAATAAGCTGTAGTTCTGGTGACTATAGTGTGCCTTTAACCAGTGAGTTCTAATGAATTGAATCCTAAACTGTTCAACCAAGCAATGCATTGAAACTTTCTGACCTCACGATTGAAAACCCTTGTAGGAGGCGCAAAACGCACTGTGACTTCACAACCCAGCAAAAATTTTCAGAACACACAGCAGAGTGGAGGCTCTCGCTGATGCAAAGTTGCAAGTGTATAAGGTATACTGTGTTAAAGTTTTGTTTCACTGTGTCAAAAGAGTTCCTTTTGTCCGGAGCAAAGCATAATTGCTGTTTTGGGATGTTGCCCGATTTGTTATATAACTGTAATAAAGGCTAATATTGGAAACCTGGCTGTCTTAATTTCTTGCTTGTAAGGTTTTACAGATTTTTATTATTGTATCACACACACTAAAGGGACTGATCCTCCTGGAGCTTGAATATTGCATATATGAGTGGCCCATTGGCGGAGGGTAGGGCAAATAGTAATAATTTCCCCCAGTGACTGGAGTTCCGATGCCCCCATCACAATAAAAAAAAAAAAAACCCTAATAATAGTGAGGAGGGCAATAAACTAAATACCTGTAAAACAAAAAAGTTAATTTACCATTAAATGTCTTTACTTCCACAGTCGTGTCAAACTATTAAAATAAAAAACTACAAAAAAAAAGTGAAAAAAAAAATATTCATCAGTATAAAAGTAGATTCTGAATACCAAGCCACATGTATGACTTCAGTTCTACTACTGTTTTAAGGTAACACTATTTTGTACAGATGATTTCACAATCTGTGGTACACATACCCCCACGGGTACAATCCAGTTCCCCCAAGGGCATGCAAAAAATAAAATAAAATCAGTAATGGCGGTTCTACTGTTGGTGCAGGCGCACTATACAGGTTTAGATACTGCAGGGCCCAACAGGTGCCCCATGAACTTCATCAGGAGCCCAATCGTTATCTGCGATGCTTTAACAGCCTTAAGGGTTAAGATAAGGGTGGGGTGGAGTTATGTCAGCAAGGGAGGGAGTTGAGATATTGTAGGTAGGTGGAGGCAGGCTTAGGACTCTACTAGGGAGGGTTTTGTCAAGCTTTGTGAGCTTGACAAAGGCCTCTTGAAGGCCAAAACGTTGCAAATTCAGTTTTCAATAAATCTGCCTCTTTCAACAAACCTTGAGTGCCTAGACCTACTTTCTACTAATATCTACTAAATTGTGTTTTGCCAACCCAGTCTTTGATGCACCTGGTTTTCACTGTGAGAGTGTGGTATCCTTTGTTTGAATCTACTAGGTAGGGAGCAGAGACGGCCAGGCACTAGCAGCTTTTATCGAAACAGTGAATACTGAGAGTGGGAAACACAACCTGATGGTCACTGAATCTGTAGACCTGGACAGGAGCAAGCAACTAACTCCCAAAAGGTAGGACATTGGAGGGTGGCTTAATTTTTTACGTCTGTTTGTTTCTGTGTGTGTGTCTGTATGTATGTAGTGTGTATCTGTGAGTGTCTGTGCATCTGTATGTGTGGCAATGTGTGTATCTGTGTATTTGCATGTGTGTCAGTGTTTGCTTCTGTGTATCAAGATGTGTGTCAGCGTTTGTATCTGTACATGTGTCATTGTATCTGTGTGTGTCAGTGTTTGTATTTGTGTGTCTGTGCACATTCATGTGTGGCAGTGGGTGTATCTGTATCTAGATGTGTGGCAGTAATTGCTTCTGTGTATCTGCATGTGTGTCAGCGTCTGTCTGTGTATCTGCATGTGTTTGTACATCTGCAAGAATAGCTGTGTTTGTGTCTCTGTACATCTGCATGTGTGTCAGTGTTTATGTATGTCTGTGTATCTGCATGTGTGGCAGTGTTTATGTGTGTCTGTTTTTATATGTGTATTAGCATGTGTGTATACCTGTGGCTTTGTATCTGCATGTGTTTCAGCGTATCTGTGAATATAGATGTGTGTCAGTGTCTGCTTTTATGTGTTTGTGTTTGTGTATCCAGATGTGTCAGTGTTTGCTTTTGTGTGTCTGTGTATTGTGTATCCAGATGTGTCATTATTTGTATCAGTATGTACATTTTTGTGTGTCTGTATTTGGGTCAGTGTTTGTATCTGCATGTGTGTCTGTGTATGTGTTTGCGTGGTTGGGTATCTATATGTCAGTGTTTGTTTCTGGGTATGTGTATGAAATGCTACAATGTTTCTGTGTGTATCTCCACTGTATATACTAATAAGCCTGGGGCAGAGGAGAAGCAGGGAGAAAAACACACATTTGAAATATCAACTATATTAATTACAAACATTTTGCTAATATGAGGAGTACAATTTATGGAATTGGACTGCCAAGAGAGTGCACAATTTAAAAAAGGTTGGGAACCACTGATGTAGTGCATTGATTATGGTATATGTAAAGGTTCACTGCTTTTGGACCATATGCATTTTCCTTTGGTGTGTTTGTGTACTTGTGTATTGATGAATTGATTAATAAAGTATCTTTTTTTTATATATATATATATATATATATATATATATATTTATTTATTTCCATAGTGATGTGCTATGGATACTGTATATTTATTTATGGCTATTTGCCTTATTGACTATTTGGTGGAAGTGGTGTTCTCCATATTGCACCCACTACTCATTACTCTTATCTATACAAGTTTGAGTGCTCCCACACATACTGATATTAACTGAGGAATCTTTTCACCAGATTATCTATGTACGATCCTGTGGTTTTGCAGGAACTTCTATAGACATAACCTGTTTTATACTCATGCACAAGTGAGCCAGAAGCAGAAGTATAAAAAGGTAGATAGTGTAGCGCTTATAAAGTAGTAAACCATACCTCGAATACATATAAACAGAGTACCTAAAAGTATAAATGATACATCATAGTGCAGGCTATATGAAATACAAGGGATATATTTGAAAAAAATAGAACACTCACAAGCGGAGAGCTAATGAACCTAGCTTTGGTGTGAATAACCCTTGGGTCCGTTTAGGCGACCCACCCCTAATGGATATACACATCCACTCCTAATAAAAAGCATATAAAACGGGGAAATAGAGTAGCACAGTACCCAATAGGTGGATAAACAATCATATGCCAAGTCAATACTCACAGACCTAGAGCCCCAGATGGCTCTATCACAGCGTTTTGTGTAGACCTCTTTGTAAGTGGCACGGAAACCAGGATGAAAGTATAACAAATGTATTCAATACAAATTTAAAAACATAAGAAATAAAAAATGAACAATGTCCATTAAGTTCATCCCAGAACGTGTTTCACTACTGAATCGTAGCTTCCTCAGCCGCGTGAAAAGAATACTAGTCCCTGGTTTGCCGGTTTTGCTTATATACCCTCTTAATAGGGGAATAACAAATGTAGTACACTGCGGTTCAAGCCTCCTTAACAAAGATGAATACTTACCACGGCGGATGCTCTCACCTGGAGCTCCGTTGTGTTACAAGCCTCTCTTTCTATGCGGGCGTCACACTGCTTCCTTGCAGTTCAAGACTAGTTCTGGTATATTTCAGATGTTTAGTTATTTCCTAGCGGTTCTGACCTTGCTTTCATTTGATGGATATCTGTCATTATTCCATTATCCTTATTGCTGAGACATGACATGTACAGAGTTTTTTATTATGTATGTTAGTGGCCTCAATCGGATATATAATTCATGTTTCAACAAATCCACTGATACAATTAGCGCTTGCACAAATTTCAGGTTACATATAAATATAAAAAGAGGAAAGAGTAAGAGGACGTATATTAAAAATGTATAATTATATCTTTATAGTCATTACAAACATAGCCTCAGTATTTAAAACCATAAAGGAAAAGTGCAAAATTAGAGAAGAAAATCCAAGGGAAGATAGGGACTGAGAGAGAAAACCTCTATAAACACATATGTTGTTATAATATTTATAATGTGAATTACTTTTTGTTGATAAATTATTCAAAATCTTTAAAAAACATTTAAAATATTAGAAATATTCTGGATATTTCTAATGGGTTTAATTAATGAGGGGAAGCAAGAAATTACAAGAACATTATAGAAAATTACATAATTCGAAGTCAGAGTTTAACCCATATGGGACAATAGTGTTCATTTTAAAAATCCACTCCATCTCCGTTTTACCAATTTTTTTGAATAAAATCTCCTCCCCTCCAATTTTTCTCCACTTTCTTAAAACCTAAAAAAAAAAAAAATCATACCTTTAGGGTCCTGACCATGTATTTGTTTAAAATGGTAGGACACACTATGTTTCTCAAACCCTTTTTTAATATTCCGAGTATGTTACTCAATTCTAATGTGTAAAGCTCTTGTAGTTCCACTTATGTAATTCAGGCCACATGGACATTTTAAAAGATAAATAATATTTTTAGAATATCAAGTAAAAGAAGATCCTGCAATAAAATGGGCCAGTATTTTCTTATTTTCCTAATTTTGTTATATTCTACATTAAAGTTGTAGAAGGATGGTGGCACCAGAGTGACCACTTAAACACTTTGTGGGATCTTTGCTACTATATGAGGAGTTTGATACCGCTCAAAGCCAACATGAAAGTTGGCATGACACCCTGGGTAAAGATCCCTCCAGCTTTAAAGCAAATTGGTAAATGTGGGACAATTACCATTAAATTAAAATAATATTCTTATTAATTGTTCCACTTTAGGCCAGACCTGTGCTTTATACATATGGCCCTCTGTGTTCAAACAGTATGGTCTGCCAGCATAGCACATTACACAATTAACGCATGGAGGAGTGCTTGACATGCATAGAAAAACTGCATTACAATCAAAACAAACCCTGTGCCCACTGTACAGGGCATATGGGCTAAGGAAAAAAAACCTGCCTGCCCAGTGCCTGCAACGACATACTCTAGGCATTCTGAATTCCACATTCCCGGGAGTGTGCCTAGTTTTATCATGTTTGGACCCACCACAAATTATTTTGTACCTAATTATAAGCTATACAGTGCAATATGTCCTATGAATAAAATAAAATAAATACTTGGGCAAAATAAAATAATTATCTACATAAAAAAAATATTCTGCAACAGTCTTCATTAAGGCGCACAGTGAGAGCTAAAAAATTAAGTTTGAAGTCACTTGCATATTGACAATTTTTTTTTTTTTTTAAAGTCCTCTGTTCTCGTCTCCATCATGATCCAGAGTTCTTTGTCATTTTTCTCACCAGTAGTCACATGAGAGCTCTGAGCATCATTTGCTGAGGCGTGCAAGTGACACCATTCTGTATACAGAATGTTTACTCTCTCACCTACATACTGGGAAAGTTAGGAACATCTATACAGTAATCTGTTTATCGGTAGCAACCCTAAAACTCTCTGGAACTCTGGAGCAGATCGCAGAGTCACCACGATCCTAAAACTTCAACAAAGGCACTCTCGGTCCCAGAACCAGCCTTTAGGGCACTTTGTGGAGGGATACTAGCGGGAGTGGTGAGGCATTGAATGACAAGGACTTAGGGGAATGTCTATTACCCACGGAAAGCGCTGTTATTTTAGGTAATTGGGACCTCTACCCAGCACCAGATTAGAGGTTAGTCCACTGAAACTTCACCTTACAGCTATCTCGGGCTAGACTGTTTGCACAGAATGGGTGCTCCAGAGACACCTTTCCTGGGATGGCACTATTGTGGGGATATGGGCACAGGAACCATGTATTTTACCCTTTTTTTGTTAACACGGTGCCAATGTGTCTGGTCACTAATTAAATTACCAGCTCAGGCATAGACAAGGAGCTGGGTTCTGTTGAGACCCAAGGTATTGTGGTGGAATTTCGGTGAATGTAAATTTAGTAGGCCAAGATTTCCATGTGGCATATGTGTATGTTGTGTCAGTTAGTTAGCTACATGTAGCTAGGATACTGTCATCAATGTACTGAGCATGTGCAGGAACTGAAATTGCACTTATTTCCTTTGTCTTGGATGGGCCATGTGGTTTGACTAGATATACAAGTCTATATTCTGCTCATTGATTGGTTAAAGGTATATGTGGGTGTAGCTATTAATGGGAGGAGTTATAGTGCTATATAAGGAATGTACACCATGTGTTGGTCTCTCAGAATTTTGGAACAGGAGTTCATCTGAGACACAATCGGTAATGTGAATAAAGGCCTCTTACTTCCTGAAGACTTGTGTCCATCTCTCTGTGTTTGGCTTCTGCATGCTTACACTGTTACAGTATAAAAGTGTGACCTGAATGCCAATGAAACAGTTTTTATTCACCCTTCCCTAAGTTTCGGCTAGTGTTTACGTGAGACAGCTATACACACTGCAGAAGAGAGCTCTGGGGCTATAAGCACAAGGGAAAAGGGCATCCCAGCTACACGTGGGTATACTGCCTCAGCCTGCATACAAATGCAATCTCATACACTCTATGGGGAACAGAGAGTGAGACACTAAAGGTTCGCTATACTATATATTTTCAGAAATAAAATCTGAATGAAAAATCTGTCAAGAGCTTTTTTCCCCCATTCTGATATGATTTGCAGAAATTTGGAATTTAGTGAATAACTCTGTTAATATCCAGGGCTTCAGGTAGATGCCCTAATCTGAAATAATTTTTTATATCCGAACAAATAGAATATATATATATATTTTTGTCAATATACATATTTCCACAATCCTGAGCATCCCTATGTAAAGAAAGAAGGAGGGCCGAACCTGGAAAACTTGTAACTGGCCATTCTCTTCAATACAAGGGTTATCACATTGATGTTTTCTACTTATCAGTTTCTAATGAATGCTGTACTTTTTCATTTATACATATATGTATATTTTTACTACACTATATTGCACTACTACTTATGCACATATGTGATACACTTGTGTATATATATATTATCATAGAAACCGAC